TATCCGTTACTATTATTATAACATTAGGATAAGTTATGATAATATTCAGTATTTGATATGTGGTGCAACACTAATAACCTAATAGCTAGACTACCATTATGATTAGGAGTCTAGTTAGGGTTTACGAGACCTAAAGACAATCAACCACAATGATGGCCAGTGGTTATATAAGGTCACTAGTCCTCTCACTGCTCACACTACATACCTCTAGAGAGAGCTGAGTAAAGTGAGAGACAAAATACTCGTTATCTTTGCAGTAGTCCAGATCGCTCAACCGTATCAAGAACTATGGCTGGAGGTTAGTCGATCCTATTATCACATATTATAGTGATGCATGTGATATTTTAGTGTAACAGTTGGTATCAGTCGCCATAAATAATCTCTGCCTAGTTCTTTTTAATTGCATATATTTTTTGAATATGTTGTATACTTTGTATAATTGAGATACATATTTAAATATTTGTTCGCAATTAAATTGTCTGGGCTGCTGGAAATTTGGTTTATTCCGCATTAAGAAACAAAAACAAAAAACAAAAATTAAATTGGATAATTATTTTTTATTTTTGGCCTTTTCGTTGCTTCGCCGGAAATTTCTTCTTGTTTTTCGAATTCCGGTGCTGGCTTGCGATTATTCAGATGAAGAAGATGGATGATGAAGGGCTTAAGGTTTTGGGCCAGGTCTGGCCCAATTTGGCCAGACCTGGGCTCATATATAATAATAATAATAATAAAATTATTTTATTAAATATGGGCCTGTTTTGGTTTTGGGCCAAATCTGAATTGATATTTGGACTACATCAATTCTTTCAGTTTAATTCCTTAATCATATTTGACTTCTTCTAATTAAATTATCCAATTGAAATTTTTTGAGAGATCTAAAGAGTTGTAGTTTCACCTATGGATAAGGCTTTGTATTGACGTTAGAAAAGACATTTTATGTTCCTAGTTTTTCTAGGAACTTAGTTTCAGTATCTAGACTTGTACCCTTCGGATATTCTTTTGAATTTAATACCAATGATTTCAAGTTATTTCATTATTCTACTTGTGTTGGTACTGGTACATTGTGTGATGGTCTTTTCCGTCTTAAATTAAAGAATGATTCAGTTTACAATTCTTTACATGTTCAAAACGGCACCAAACGGTGTAGTATTAACGACAATTGTTGTGGCATCAGAGATTAGGTCATATCTCCCTTGAGCGTATTAAAAGGTTGGTAAAAGATGGAGTACTTTCTACTCTAGACTATACTGACTTTGAGACTTGCATTGACTGCATTAAGGGTAAGCAGACAAACAAGTCAAAGAAAGGTGCCAATAGAAGTTCAACGTTGTTGGAAATTATTCATACTGACATATGTTATCCTGATATGACAATACCTGGTCAGAAATATTTCATCACCTTTATTGATGACTTCTCAAGATTTTCCTATGTGTATTTACTTCATCATAAACATGAAGCATTGGATGCTTTTAAATCATTTAAAGCTCAAGTTGAAAACCAATGTAACAGGAAAATACACATAGTTAGGTCTGATAGGGGTGGTGAATACTATGGTAGATATACTGAGAATGGACAAGCACCTGGTCCCTTTGCTAAGTTTCTCCAAGAGCATGGGATTGTTGCCCAATACACCATGCCTGGTTCTCCGGACCAAAATGGTGTAGCTGAAAGAAGAAACCGGACTCTTCTGAATATGGTGCGGAGTATGCTTAGCAACTCTAAGCTTCCAAAGTCGTTGTGGGATGAAGCACTTAAGACGGCAACGTATATATTAAACCGTGTTCCAACCAAGGCTGTCCCTAAGACACCATTTGAGTTATTCAAAGGTTGGAAACCGAGTTTGCAACATATGCGTGTTTGGGGATGTCCGTCTGAGGTGAGGATATATAACCCACACGAGAAGAAACTTGACCCAAGGACGATTAGTGCTTTCTTTATTGGATATGCACAGTCCTCTAAGGGTTATAGGTTCTTTTTTCCATCTCATACCACTAGGATAGTGGAATCAAGGAATGCTAAATTTCTTGAAGATGACTCGATTAGTGGGAGTGATCGGTTTAAGGACTTAGTTCCTTCCTTGGATCATATTGACTCTCGACCTTCTACGTCATCTGGTGGGGTTGTACTTATCCGCAGTGCTCCTTTAGTTCTGCCTGCAGATATACCACTTACCGTTGAGATTTCACAAACTGTTGAGGATCAGCCTTTGGAAGAACCAGTTCAGGACTTACAGCAACCGCCTGAACTAGATTTCGAACCAATGGTTGAACTAACTCAGGATATACAGCAAGATTCTGAGCCGATGCAGACTGAACCGATTCAAGAACTGCTACTAGTTCCTGAAGAGGTAGTTGCCCCGCAACCTGTACAAGGTGATGAGGGTCCAACCTTAAGACGGTCTACTCGGATAAGGCGATCAGCAATTCCTAGTTATTATGTTTCGTATCTACAAGAATCTGACATAGGGGCTGAAAATGATCCTGAAACATTCTCTCAAGCCACAAATTGTGCACTGTCTGACTTATGGTTAGAAGCCATGAAAGATGAAATGAATTCCATGAAGGACAATGGAGTTTGGGATCTTGTTGAGTTGCCTAATGGGGCCAAGGCCATTGGCTGTAAATGGGTTTTTAAGACTAAAAGAAACTCATTAGGCAACATTGAGAGATACAAGGCCCGACTTGTTGCCAAGGGATTTACTCAAAAAGAAGGAATCGATTACAATGAGATATTTTCTCCTGTATCAAAGAAAGATTCACTTCGGGTCATTCTGGCATTAGCTGCACATTTTAATCTTGAGTTGCAACAAATGGATGTGAAAACCACTTTCCTAAATGGTGATCTAGAAGAGAAGGTTTATATGAAACAACCTGAAGGTTTCTCTTCTAGGGGTGGTGAGCATTTAGTATGTAAGCTTAAGAAATCCATATACGGTTTAAAACAAGCCTCCCGTTAATGGTATATCAAATTCAATGGGGTAATTTCTTCATTTGGTTTTGTTGAAAATCCATCAGATAACTGTATATACCAGAAGGTGAGTGGGAGTAAAATTTGCTTTCTTGTTTTATATGTGGATGACATCTTACTTGCCACCAATGATAAGGGGATGCTTCGTGATGTGAAACAATTTCTTTTTAAGAACTTTGATATGAAGGATATGGGTGATGCCTCTTATGTTATTGGCATTAAAATTCAGAGAGATAGGTCCCGGGGTATACTGGGTTTATCTCAAGAAACCTATATAAACAAAGTTTTAGAGAGATTTCATATGCAAAATTGTTCACCATACGCCCCTCCCATATCTAAGGGGGATAGATTCAGTTTGGACCAATGTCCGAAAAAATGATTTGGAGAAGGAATCCATGGAGAACATCCCTTATGCTGCAGCAGTTGGATGTCTTGGATATATTCAAGTCTGTACGAGGCCGGATATTGCTTTTACGGTTGGAATGCTAGGGCGTTACCAACACAATCCGGGTTAGACCATTGGAGAGCTATAAAGAAGGTTCTAAGGTATCTCAAAGGAACCAAAGGTTACAAGCTTGGGTTTAAGCAAACGGACAATTTAGATCTTGTCGGTTATTTAGACGCGGACTTCGCTGGCTGTGTTAATTCTCGAAATCAACTTCAGGGTGCGTCTTTATTATGGCCGGTGGGGTTATCTCATGGAGAAGTGTTAAACAGTCCTTAATAGCTACTTCTACCATGGAAGTCGAGTTCGTTTCCTGTTTCGAGGCTACTTCACAGGGTGTTTGGCTAAAGAATTTTATCTCTGGGCTTAGAATTATGGATTCTATATCTAAGCCATTGAAAGTCTACTGTGACAACTCAGCTGCAGTCTTCCTAGCTAAGAACGACAAAAGTGGAAGTCGAACTAAGCACATCGACATCAAGTTCTTAGCAATTAGGGAGCGTGTCAAAAATAAAGTTGTATTTATTGAACACATTCATACTGAGTTGATGTTAGCAGATCCCTTGACTAAAGGCATGCCACCATTTAAGTTCAAGGATCTGATTCAGAAAATGGGACTTTCGCCCAATTTGTAATTTGTATATATACATTCAGTTTCAATAAAATTCTTTGGCATTCAGACATTTTCTCAATTAAGTGTGTACACCTTCATTTACTTTATATTGATGAGAAAATGTACTTCAGGGACTTGGAATAAACATAGGGTTTATTTCGTTGGGTTTTGTTTCCTAATTAAGTGCTCAATGGCAGTTTTGCATTTGATCATAATGGATACTACTCGCGCTAATGAGAACATATCATTATGGTTGGTGTTTTTCTGTTATTGAGTGGTAGTGCTTACACCAAGTGGGAGAATGTAACATTTACTATTATTATAACATTAGGATAAGTTATGATAATATTCAGTATTTGATATGTGGTGCAACACTAATAACCTAATAGCTAGACTACCATTATGATTAGGAGTCTAGTTAGGGTTTAGGAGACCTAAAGACAATCAACCACAATGATGGCCAGTGGTTATATAAGGTCACTAGTCCTCTCACTGCTCACACTACATACCTCTAGAGAGAGCTGAGTAAAGTGAGAGACAACATACTCGCTATCTCTGTAGCAGTCCAGATCGCTCAACCGTATCAAGAACTATGGCTGGAGGTTAGTTGATCCTATTATCACATATTATAGTGATGCATGTGATATTTTAGTCTAACATACATATCATGGAGAGACATCTTGGACACCAAACAATAAAATGAAGTTGCTGCATGTGGCTTAGTGAAGATATCTGCAAGCTGGTTTGCAATGGCAACATGTAGTAGTTTCAGTACTCCTTTATGTAGTTTCTCCCGTACTAGATGACAATCTATTTCAATATGCTTTGTCCTTTCATGGAATACTGGATTTTCAGCTATTGCAATAGCTGATTTGCTATCACAAAATAACATGGCTGTAGGGTTATCATTTATCCCCAGATCCTGCAACAGATAGACTAACCATTAAATTGGATCTCACATGCAGTTGTGGCAAGAGCCCAGTATTCTGCTTCAGAGGAACTTCTTGAGATTGTAACTTGTTTCTTAGATCTCCAAGACACCAATGTACTGCCTAGGAAGATGCAAAAACCAGTAACAGACCTCCTGGCATCTGGACAAGCTGCCCAGTCTGAATATAATCAGTGAAACCTTTGAGCTGTAAGGAAGATTTTTTGCTGAGAAGAAAAGGCCTTGTCCCCTGGAGCTGCCTTGATATATCTCAACACCCTATGTGCTGCCTACATGTGTATGTCAGTGGGACAATCCAAAAACTGAGAGAATTGTTGTACAACATAACTGATATCAGGTCTAGTTATGGTTAGATATAACAACTTTCCAATAAGCTTTCTATATTGAGTAGCATCCTGTAGGGTGTTGCCAGTAGTCCTACTATATTTGGTTGAGGTGACCATGGGTGTACAGGCAGGTTTATAGTGCAAGAAACTTGTTTCCTCAAGCAATTCCATGGTATATTTTCTCTGAGTCATTGAGATTCCTTTGCTGCTTCTTGCAACTTCTAGTTCCAGAAAGAACCTTAGAGGACCTAAGTCCTTAATGTGAAAAGCTTCATCCAAGTGCTTCTTAATCTGTTCCACTTGGCTTATATCAGGAATAGCAATGACCACATCATCAACATAAACAAGTAATGCTACAAATTCACTATTTTGGCCTCTTGTAAACAGAGAAGGATCATAAATAACTTGCTTGAACCCCATTCCCAACAATTCATGAGTTAGTTTAATGTTCCATTGTCTACTTGCTTGTTTAAGGCCATATAAGGACTTAACCAACCTGCATACTTGATCAGGTTTAATTGGAGTGAGGCCAGGAGGCAATTGCATGTAGACTTCTTCATTAAGCTCTCCATGTAGGAAGGCATTATTGACATCTAACTAGTGTAGAAACCAACCTTTAATGGCAGCAACAACTACCAACAGTCTGATTGTTGTGATTTTGGCAACAGGATTGAAAGTGTCCAAGTAATCAAGTCCAGGTGTTTGAGTGTACCATTTTGCCACAAGCCTAGCTTTGTGTCTTTCAATTGTTCCATCAGCTTTGAGTTTAGTCTTATAGACCCATCTGCATCCTATTGGATCTTTGTTAGGAGGCAGATCTGTAATTACCCATGTGTTGTTTGCTTTCAAGGCTTTAAACTCAGCTTCCATTGCTTGTCTCCAACATTCCTTTTTTATGGCTTCATTGTAGTTTCTTGGTTCTTTTGCATCCAGCACGTTCACAGCAAAAGCTTTATACTCATGAGATAGCCTGTCATAACACAAAAATTTAGAAATGTTATGAGGAGTGGTTTTTCTGGTAGTGACACTTTGGCAGCTATAATCATCAAGATAGCTAGGTGTGACTTTTCTTCTGGTTGACCTCCTTAGTTGTGTTTCATTCTTAGAGATTGGTTGACTGCTAGAAACTCCAACCTCTTGGTGTGACTCTACAGGGTGAGTCTCAGATGGGACCTGCTGGGCAGTAGCAAAAGGAATATGATCATCCTCCAAGTGTGGTGTGTTTTCAGATGGTAACACTAGAATGTTAGGCTGTGACTTATGTGATTCCTTATATGGAAATATGTCTTCATAAAAGGAGACATCTCTAGATATAAAAATCTCTCTTGTTTTGACATCAAATAGCTTGTACCCTTTCACACCATTGGCATATCCAATAAAGATGCATTTCCTAGCTCTTGGTGAGAATTTGGTCCTTTGGCAGCTAGGAATGACAGCAAACCTATATCAACAAAGTCTTAGAAAGATTTCGGATGAAGGATTGTTCACCGAGTCCAGCTCCTATAGTGAGAGAAGATAAATTCAGTTTGGACCAATGTCCAAAGAATAATTTTGAAAGAGAATCCATGAAGAATATTCCTTATGCTTCAGTTGTCGGATGCCTCGGGTATGTTCAAGTTTGTACTAGGCCAGACATCGCCTTTGCTGTTGGAATGCTGTGACGATATCAAAGTGATCCAGGTTTAGACCACTAGAGAGCTGCAAAGAAGGTTTTAAGGTATCTCAAGGGTACCAAGGATTATAAACTTGTGTTCAAACAGATGGACGTTTTGGACATTGTTGGATATTCTGATTCGGACTTTGCCGGTTGTGTTGATTCTCGGAAATCAACTTCGGGGAATATTTTTATCATGGCTGATGGAGCCGTTTCATGGAGAAGTGTTAAACAAACTCTTGTCACCACTTCAACCATGGAAGCCGAGTTCGTTTCATGTTTTGAGGCTACATCTCAAGGTGTACGGATTAAGAATTTCATTTCGTGGCTTAGAGTTATGGACTCTATTTCTAAGCCATTAAAGGTTTATTGTGACAACTCAGCTGCAGTCTTCCTGGCTAAGAACAATAAGAGTGGGAGTCGAAGTAAGCATATGGACACCAAGTACTTGGCTATCATGGAGCGTATTAAAGATAAGAAAGTGGTCATTGAGTATATAAGCACTGAGTTGATGATTGTTGATCCCTTAAATAAAGGCATGCCACCATTCAAGTTTAGGGATTTTGTTGAGAAAATGGGACTTGCACCCACTTTGTAAAAACTTGTATACATACAGTTATTTTATGAAATTCTTAAAGCATTTAGATATTTTCTCATTATTGTATTGTGCACATTTTGTTGAGAAAATATATATCCTTTGGACCTGGAATAAACATAAGGTTTATCCATTGAGTTTTGGTTAAGAAGATAAAGTACTTAGAGAACAAGTTGCATTGTGATTATAGTAAATACTACTCGTATTCAGAGGACATATCTCTATAGTTCATGTATTTTGTTTCTTTAAGTTTGTTCTTGCACCAAGTGGGAGAATGTAACATTTTCCATGTTGTGGTGCAAGGTTATTATGACCTTAATGGCCATTAAGGTGTGCCAATTGTAACAGTTGTAACGGTTACCGTTACAACTGTTACAAAACCTATATTGATGGTTAGATAGACTATAAAAGCTAGGTCCCCCACTACTCAGGACACTGTCATTCTGACAAAAAGTATACACCATCTTGTTGAACCTGAGACCAGTGGGAGACACTCTACCCAAATTACTGCAGCAAACAACTAAGGCATTCTACATCAACTTCAAGGCAAATCAATAGCAAACAACTATAGCTGGAGGTTAGTCCCTATTATTACATATACAATGCATGTATAACTGTATATGTGCCTTTATTTGCTTACACATAATACTATTAACAACAAATGCTCTTAGTCCCCTCAAAAACCAAAAAAAAAAAAAAAAAAAAAAAAAAAAAAAAAAAAAAAAAAAAAAACAAAAAACAAAAAAACAAAAAAAAAAAAACAAAAAACAAAAAACAAAAAAAAAACAAAACAAAACAAAACAAAAAAACAAATGTTCTTAGTCGTCCTAAAAATGTATGGGAAGTTGTATGGCAATATCTTGTTGAGGATGTAGAATACAACAGACGCAGAGTATTATCTACCCAATGTAATTTTCATATTTTGTAGACACAAAGAAATAGTACTTAATAATTACTAAAAAAAAAAATCTTAATGCAATTTTGGCTTCTAAGATTTGTTTGTCCCAAAAAATAATATAGAGTTAGTGTTAACAAATGATGAAAACTTGAAAAGAAAAACTGCGCTTTAATTGAATTGGAAAAGTTGCTAAGTGCATGGAGTACGAGTTTGGACAATTTTCTGTCAACGCATGCACTTGACTTGAGTTGTGTGCAATTATCTAAGAATTGATTGTTGTACGAGGAACTATCATATGATTGTGAAATGCAACAGCAGCTTCATGCCAATTTGGTTACACAACTACTGATGAGCAAAAATGTGTTTGCAAAACTAAGTGATGTTGAGTGTGTTGGTGGAGGCCTATTCTTTGTCTATAACTACAAAGGAATTGGTAAAAAAATTGTTTGGAAAACATGGTCTGCAACTATGCGTTCAAAGTATCAGGTTGTGCTGAATGTTACATTCATTGGTATTGCTTCTCTACATATGCTTGGTGGTAAAACTACACATTCTCGATTTGCCATACCAACAAATCTAAATGAGGATTCCACGTGGAACATCTCATAGGGCAATGATCTTGTTGAATTGATTATAAGGTGCAAATTGATAATTTTGCATGAGACACCTATGATGCATAAACATTGCTTTAAAACATTGGACATGACAATGAGAGATTTGTTAAGATTTACTAACCCATCGAGTTCAAGTATGACATTTGGAAGAAAAGCAATTGTGCTTGGTATGAATTTTAGACAAATACTACCCGTGATACCAAAGGAAACAATGCAAGATATCGTTGTTGCAAGCATTAACTCTTCTTATTTATGAAGTAGTTGTAAAGTTCTAACTTCTAAGATTGACTAAGAATATCATATTACAAAGCATAGACGACTCAGTGGATAACTTTCAAGAACTTAATTCCTTTGCAAAGTGGATTGTTATGTAGGTGATGGAGTAGGGATGGCAATTCAACCCGACCCCAATAGGAAAAACCGATCCCATTTGGGAAACAGGGGTGGGGATGGGGTGAATTTCTCCATCCCCATCGGTATATAAAATGTAGGAACAAAGTCGCAATCTCACAGATAGAAATAATAGAAAAGAATTTAAAAATACATTGCGACTCTGGTCAATAAACCTTGTAGCGGTGCCCCTTGCTCCTCTTCTTCAATTATTCCCTTCTTCCCTTCTCACTGCTCTCTTCTTCGGTTCTTCCTCTTCCCTTGGTCGATGCAGCCGGTCGCTGCTCAATCGTTGTCTCGTCGGTCACTGCTCAATCGCTGCTTCCCCCTTCGTCGCCGACTCGCCGGTCAGTGTTCACTATTTTTCTTCTTCACTATAGACTGCAGTTACTTTGTTTCTTCTTCATCGCTGTGGGTAGTGTTTCACTATTTCCCATTTGTGTTGATTAATGATTATTATTGTTGTTATCATTATTGTTGTTATGACAGTAGAAAGCAGTGTTTGCTAGTCCCTTTGGTCTCAGGTTTTGAATTGGAATGAGATATACTTTGTTCTTAGTTGATATGTGACGAATTTGTAGAGATGTAGCGGTGGATGGAAAGTATGGCGGAGAATGAAGATTTTCACATATGTCGTCAAAGAATGAATACTTGGAATTGAATGGTGTGTAATTAAACACAAGCACACATTTGTGATAGGAAACTATGCAAGATCATTGTAACAAGATGCAAAGAATAGGTTGCAAAGAGTAGATTGTGCAAGCAAGTAAACTAAAGTAAAGCAATGCGATATGAGGTGAATTAGATTGGCATTCCGCCATTCCCTTAATCATATGTAATGAAGAGGTCTTAGTGAAAATTGAAGCTATGTTATGAATTGTGGTCTATGTGAGGTGACTACCATTGCCATGTCCATTCTCGGTCTTCATAGACTATCATGGTGTAATAGAGCACCCAATTGACAATGTTACACCTATGAAACATTTCAATAAACATATTGTCTACACCTCATTCCGGACTTTGCTCTCTCAGATCTAAGGCGGGAATTGCAAGTGGAAGGAGGCTAGAATATGTCTCAATCTCTTGTAAGCATACTCATCCCTAAGCCTCTTGCATGATGTGCATACTCCTCATACAAGAGTCAATACAAATTCAACTTCCAACAAGACATCAACAAATAGTCAATTCTACCTTGATCAATTCATACACAATCACAAAAAAATATAATCCAATTTACAAGCTAATTCTAGTCAAGCATGATCTAGATTGAAAGGCAATCAACAATTGGCATAACAATGGAGATGAATGATGAAATTAAAGAGAGAAAATGTAGGAAGTATATTTAGCTCAAATGTAATTCTAGAAGAGTTGTCAATTCCTCTTGAACCTTAAAAATATCTTCTCTCTCAATCGAAGAGAGTTTAGAACTTGGTCTAAAAGTGAGAGAAAGTAAATCTAAACTAATGGAATGAATTAGAATGTACAAAATGAATCCCGCCACTTTCTATTTATAACCGCTAAATCTGGAGCCGCCACGATCGCTGCACAATCGTGCACACGTTCGTGCACGCTTTCATTTAATTCCATAGCCACCACAATCGTGATTCAAGTTTAAGGGAGAGTTCTAAATGCTCTGTCGGGTCGAGGTGTGGGGGGCCCTTAGGGTTGGAATTCAACCTTTTTTGGAAGTTTAAGGGAGAGTGTTGAGAAATACTAATTGACAACTAAATGATACTAATTGATAGGTTTCCCTGTTTAGATTATACACTTAGAGGGGTGTATTCAATTATGACTTTCGTAGAGTTTTAAAGACTTTTATGAACTTTAAAAGTTTGGAGGTATTCAATTCAAACTTTTAGAGAGTCTTTAAAAGTCAGACGGTATTCAATCAAGACTTTTAAAGAGTCTTTAAAAGTCATGTGGTATTCGATTAAGACTTTTAAAGAGTCTTTAAAAGTTATGTGGTATTCAAAAAGTTATGAACTTTTGTAGACTTTTTAATTTTAGAACTTTTGTAAACTTTTGTAGACTTTTCCTTCTCAAATATAAATAGTTGAAATCCAACCATCAACCCCAAGATTTCAAAATTTTCTTTCTAACAACTTTGAATGTTTTCTCTCTCTATTTAAACTCCATTATTTCTCAATATTTAAACTTTATAAACCTATCTAAATTCAATAAAATTATTTTGTTTCTTCATTATCCTATATTTTCCTCATACCTAATTAAACTCTACCAATTTATCTCTCTTTCCTAAGCTTTACAATCTTCCTCTAAAAATTCGAAATAATATTATTTTTACTTCATTATTGCTTGTTTATATTGATTTTTATTTTTTCTATGAATTTTTTATCCCTAACTTTCTCTAATTCTCCCTAAATACATTAACAAAGCAAGTATTTCATCGTCAAATTTTAGTATATGTTTCATAATATTCATATAAATACGTATATATTTTGATTTTTATTCTTTTTATGTTTATATTCGTAATATATAATTTTTATTATTTTTTTTAACAACATGTTACTACGAATAGCGAACTACTGTATGTTCGCAACAACAATTTGGGGTTGCAAACAGTAGCACATTGATGTTGTTCGCTGTCTCAAATTGCTATTGCAAATAATAGTTCTTTGCGTAATACCTAGCAATATATCAAGTATAATATATATATATATATATATATATATATATATATATATATATATATATATATATATATATATATATATATTAATATTAGATTTGGGTGAAGAACTATATAATAAGAAGAATTTTATGATATATTATAAATGTTTTGTAAGAAAATTATAAATGTTAAGAATCAAAATCATTGAAAGTTTGTAAGGATGTATTTAATTTAGAATTTCAATGACTTTTGTAGACTTTTTAAAATAAAAAGTTGATAAAAGTCTATGAATGTTATTTATATAAACTTTTATAGAGTCTTATAAAGTTTTAAAAAGTTTTGAATGACTCTATGAAAGTCAATCAAAGTTTATTAAAATCAATCATTTTAAAAGTTTTTAAAACTCTACAAAAGTCATGATTGAATACACCCCCTTAGATTGATCAACTTGTTCATGTATAAAATAGCCTTGTAAATTGTAATCATTCTTTTTGATACAATAAATAATAAAAATCAGTTTTTCCCTTTTCTTCAACAAAGACAATATAATGCAAGCTCCATAATTTTTATATTCTTAGTCGTAAATGCAAGTTTAAGAGGACTAAAAACAACTAAGCATCGGACATGCCCTGTGAAACTCTCATTTCCAGACAAAATTATAAAGTTAACTCTTCACTAAGAAGATCTCCAAGAGTGAGGTTTTTTTCTCAAATTTTGCAAGCCACATAGGATGGTTAAGGGATAGAAAAAATTGGGGGAAAAAAAAAAAAGATTGTCGAAGGAAAAAAATATTTATACTCTTTACGCACTAGGAATTAGCTTTTTTTTTTTTTTTTTTTTTTTTTTTTTTTTTTACTTCTCTTCCTGTGCCCCAAAAAAAAAAAAAAAAAAAAAAAAAAAAAAGAGCCATTTTTCCTGTATTATTTTTTTTTCTCTTTCTTCTCTTCTCTCTCCTCCAACTTATTACCTCTCTAATCCAACAAAGCAAAAAAAAAAAAACAAAACAAAACAAAACAAAACAAAAAATGTCAGCACGAACTTAATTCAATGGTTCAGTAAGCAGTATTTGAGAGAAGAAGCGAAGGCTCAAACCTCGGTAGCGGTAGTGTGTGGATTATGTCCAAAGTGGGCAAAGCCCTATCTGTTAAGTCATTGAGTCACCGTGATTTATATCCTTCCAAATATTCTGTCAGGCGTTGGTCAGGGATTCAACCTTTTGAGAGAATGAAAAAAAAAAAAAAAAAAAAAAAAAACTTCGTAGAGATGCTCTAAAGCCCATTAATGACCCCATCAATGAAATGATATATCCTCAAGTGATAAAACAAAACCACACGGTAAAAGGTGAAATATTGACATCTTTGACAAATAAATTTATAAATTCAACAAGAAGCTATACCAATGCTCATTAGAAATTTACAATAAAAAACAGAAGATGGCACATATGTACATTATCAAATCAGTTCTACACAGAAGATCACACATAAAATGAGAAAAGAAAGTCTGAAAAGGAGGAATAAATCATAAACTGGCTCACCTGTAAATTGCTCTCTTCCATTAGAATATCCTTCCAACATAGCACAATCACCTATAGTCAGAAGGCAATTTTGGGAAAGAAAACAGGTCAAAGCAAAACATGCTATATTTTCTGTGCTTATATATAACCACACATTCTTGCATCAAAACGTAATGGCACAAACTACTGATCAAAAACCTTGGTTAAACATAAACTTGAATGATGCAAAATCAATGACGATAAACCATGGAATCTAAGGCTGGTTATCTCAAAAGTATTATTTTGTAGGCCAAATAAAACTTTTCATGTTTTAAAGTAGCTTCCATCAACTAATGAGCAAATAGAAAAGAAAAGAGGAAACATAAATAATATAAAAACCCATAAGAGCATATATATTTTTTCTTTCCACATATAATCTTCAGTAATCAGTGGTGGCTGAATTAAAGTGGGTGGGTGGGGGGGGGGGGGGGGGGGGGGGTCGGTTTGGGGGGCATTTGATTTAAATATTTTGGGGTAAGAAAGAAATATGATTGTACCTTTAAAAAAAAATTCCAACGCTACCAATAATCTCCACAAGAGCATAGCCCTTGTCGAAAGAAGTGGAAACGGTTGTTATCACGAACAACAACATCTCGGTTGTATACTTTTGAAACAAACTTTGCAAATGAATGGCAGTCAGAACACATACGAAGGTTGTTTACAATACGTATGGGGCACCGCTGTTGCGTAGAAATGAGCCCAAAGGCCATGGCCATTTTCTCACTATGTCGACTGAGAGAGAACTCTTTTTCTTGATCATCGATATCAAGCAAAACATTAGTTAGGTCAGGAACATAACCAGCACCTCTGAGTCTAGAATACATCTCCTCTAGCATTATGTTTATTTGAGTTTTTTCCATGTGAGATTCATCAGCTGAAGTAAACTCATGAATTACACCGTTAACCTCAATTGAGCTTGAGCCAGGGCATTTCCTTATCCCTTTTTCCTTCATGGAGAGCCTCACCTTTGCAACATCACTCCACTTTCCTGCATGAGCATAAATATTCGATAGAAGCACATGGATCCCATTTTCATCGGAGGCTGGCTCACCGATCATCTCAGCTGCACGAGTTGCCATTTCATCATTTTTGTGTTTCCTACAAGCAGCTAATAGAGCCCCCCATACTGCACTATTGGGTTCAATTGGCATGTTATTGATTACATTAAGAGCTTCATCCAATAAACCAGCACGGCCAAGCAAATCAACAAGGCAGCCATAATGCACAATCTGCGGGGAGATTCCATGGATCTCCTCCATACTCCTAAAAATATTCTTTCCTTCTTCTACTAAACCCCCATGGCTGCATGCTGTCAGTACAGCAACGAACACAACTTCATCGGGTTTCACATCTTCTTGGAGCATCTCGTAGAATAGTTCAACCGCACGTTTACCATTTCCTTCCTTGGCTGTAGCTCCAATTGCAGCACTCCAAGCAGAAACATCCCTCACCTTCATCTTGTTGAACACTTCCATTGCACTAGAAATATCGCCACATCGAGCGAACATATCAAGAAGAGCTGTGCTAAGCTGAATATCGCAATTGATTTCAGTTTTCTCAACATAGCTGTAGATCCATTTTGCAAGATCAAGAGCGCCCAAGTACCCACAAGCACATGCCACACTCACCATTGTCATTTCATTTGCTTTTATCCCCTCATTCAGCATGATACGGAATAAATGAATTGCATCTTCAAACAGGCTCTCTTGCACCAAACCACCAATAATGGTGTTCCATGAAACAAGATTCTTTTCTGTCATCTGATTGAAGATTTCTTGAGCTTTCCCTACATCTCCATTTCTAACAAAGCCTGCAATCAGTGAGTTCCAAGATACCACTGTCTTGTTTGACATATGATTGAATACTCTGCAACCAAGTTCCTCCTTCCCGCATTTCATATACATATCAATAATTGCATTGCCAACAGAGTCCCAAATCTCTAACCCATTCCTCAAAGCATACCCATGGCATTGCTTCCCTAAAAAAACATCACCCACTTGTGCAGAGGTTGCAAAAGTAGCCAATAGAGTGACTCTATCAGGACGAGGTCCTTGATGTAGCATTTCATTCAAGACATCAAGCGCTTCCTTGGCAAACCCATTGTGCACATAATTTGTCAAAACTGTATTATAAAGAACCAGATTTCTATCACCATATCCCTCAAAAAGCTGTTTTGCCCTGTCACTAGCTCCACACTTCATATACATATCCACTAAAGCATTTACCACAATATTGTTGACCTTCAGCCCTGATTCTCCAATAAAAGTACACACTCTTTCCCCCAAATCTAAATCCCCTAACTTTGCACAAGCAGAAATCACACACGCCATAGTCACTAAATTAGGCATAATCCCATCCTCAATCATTTCAAAAAACAGAGTAACAGCCTCTTTGGGTTGGTTAATCCTTACATATCCATCAATCAAACTAGTCCAAGACACAACATTTCTTTCACACATTTTATCAAACACTTTGCGGCCATTATCAACCTCCCCGCATTCTCCATAGAAATGAACTAATGAGTTTGACACGAACATATTATCTCCCAAACCCATTTTCACAGCCAGTCCATGTACCTGATTCCCCTCGGAAAACCTTTCCCCTTTTACACAAGTACCCAAAACAAAGGGAAACGTATAGCTATCAGCTCCAACCCCTTGACTAACCATTTCTACGAAAACCAAAATAGCTTCATCTATGAGCCCAGACGAAGAATAACCTTTTATCAAAGAATTAAATATATAAGCATTTATACTATTGGATTCAACATTATTCAAAATCTTAAAGGCTATACGTGCGTATTCTAAACTTTCAATAGTGCCCACTTCAGAGTACTTAGATATAAGCCTAGTTAGCTCAGTGGGGTTGTCAGAAAGACCTCGTTTTGTCATATGGGCGTGAAATTGTTTAATTTCGTTGAAATTTTTGCAAGATTTGAGTGACCCAATTCTGGAATTGCATCTCCTGGCACTTGGTGCTGGCTGGTTCTGGGGGCTTAGTAGGTGAGTAGCATTTGATAGTGGGATGGAGAGGGGAGAAGAAATGGTGGCAATGGCCATGGTAATTTCGGTTTCCTCCGGGGTGTGTCATTTCGGTAGTGGTAATACTTAAAGAGTTGAGATTTGTGTGTGGGGTCAGGGGCGTGGGAGAGGGGTAAACAAATGTGTTATGATATGTGTATTCTCAAATTTACTCTCTAATAAGACGTTATGCCATGGAACCGTGTTCACCATTCATGGTGAACACGGTTCCAACGGTGTTAGTGCACCGTTATCTCTTCTTTTTTTTTTTTTTATGAGATTATGAATTTTCTGTTATGAGATTATGAATTTTCAGTTATGAGATTATGAATTTTCTGTTATGCGATTATGAATTTTCTGTTATGAGATTATGAATTTTCATTACATTCATAATTTCGGAGTTTCGGACATTCATAAATTATGAATTCATGCATGCACATTCACTTTGGAACCATGCCTACATATTCCCGTCCGAAATCATGGACATTCATAAATTATGAATCCATGCCTGCACATTCACTTTGGAACCATGCCTACACATTCACTTTGGAACCATGAGATTATGAATTTTCTGTTATAAGATTATGAATTTTCTGTTATGAGATTATGAATTTTCAGTTGTGAGATTATGAATTTTCTGTTATGCGATTATGAATTTTCTGTTATGCGATTATGAATTTTCTGTTATGCGATTATGAATTTTCATAAAATTCATAATTTCATAACAGAAAATTCATAATTTGATCAGTAACGCGCCGTTAACTCCACATCCGCGATTTTTTTTTTTGCCTAAAAACGACGTCGTTTTGACTTGTGTTCACCATTCTCGGTGAACACGATTCCACGGCATAATTTGCGCTCTCTAATGTGGCGGGCTTGATAAATTATTTTTGTTACGTGGGTCCCTGTAAAAGTGTCTACATCAATATTTTAAGTGTGAGAGTAAAAGTTGAGAGTAGATAATGAGAGTACATGTAGTATTTTTCGTAAACAAATAGAGATCTAATTACTAAAGATCACATATAGAGAGAATTACAAATAAAGGTAGGAGTTTCATGGAACTAGTCCTCAGGTTCTGCATTAGAAATAGAGTCCGTAGTTAGCATTTGCAGAGCGTTTGACAAATGAGATCGTTACATTGTCAAGTTGACGTAGTAAATCTTTAATGTAGTAAATCTTTAACATCTAAGATAACAAGATCAAATGATGAAGCTTGGCTCTCAGAGTTGAGGGACTAGACAATAGTAAGAGCGTCTAATTCTACTTGAACATTGCTAAAGTTTGGACATTTGAGCAGCCTCACGAATAGCCAAGAGCATCCGCTTCTTTGGGGGGACAGTAGCCAACCTTAGCGGCATTGGATGCTGCTACAAAGTTTCCTTGATCATTACGAAAAACCCATCCAAATCCCAATTTACCATTGGTCGTGTCAATCGCTACATCGATGTTGAGCTTCATAAAGCCACCTTGAGGTGTTTTTTTTTTTTTTTTTATACCTTTTTCAATTGTCCTAACACTGTCGGCTTGATGTGAGTTCAAAACATTAACTTGGCTCCACTCATGAGGGATAGATTTGGTTTTATCCACAATGTTTTTTCCAGTTGAAGCGTGATTTTTCCAAATTTTGTCATTTCTAGCTAACCACAGGTTCCAGCAAATCATGACGAAGCAACACACTTGGTCATTTTGGAGTTGGCGAATCACTTTCATAAACCACTTTATTGCGTTCTAATTTGTGAAGTATTGATCCTATTACTGAAGTAGGACCAGGCCTCCTTTGCAATTATGCAATCAGCAAGGATATGAACTATATTTTCTTCAGCTTCATTGCATATTTGACATAATATTGGACAATCCACCTTCTAGCACGCAGGAGGTCTGCATTAGGCATGCAGTTTATACGGACTTTCCAAATGAAGAGTTTTGCTCTTGGAGGAATCCATAGGTTCCATATGAATCCCCGTTTAGTTTTATTGATCTTTGGCAGCTCCCCCATGATTGCTTTATAACAACTTTTAATTGAGAAAATGTCTTTTTTTTTTCTCCTTTGCCTAAATCAATCTATATCTCTTGCCTTGTACAGATAATGGAATGCTTAGAATAAGATTCGCATCCCTGTGATGAAAGATATCATTGATGACCTCTGCCTCCCAAACTTTGGTATGAGGATTGATTAGGGATGAGACATTATCATTTTCAAGCAGAGGAAAAGGAGTTGTAATGATCATAGGATTAATCTTATTTAGTAACCACTGATCATTACAGATTTTGATGATGTTTCCATCTCCAACTCTCTATCTAGTGCTCTTGCAGATAATCTCTTGAGTTTCTGCCAAACTACTCTAAATGAAGGAAGGATTGTGACCTTTTTCAGCTTCAATGGAAGAAGATTTGGGGAAGTATCTATGCTTGAACACCCTGGCAGCTAAAGATGATGGATTATCAATGAGCCTCCAAGCCTATTTACACAAAAGAGTCAAATTAAATTCACTGAGGCTTCTAAAACCTAATCCACCGCATTGTTTTGGAACACACAGAGATAACCAACTCTTCCAACGAATCCCCCCTTTCCCTCCATCATCTCCCTTCCACCAATATGCATTCATTACCCTCTCAATTTCCCCTACAAGGTTTTTTGGAAAAAGGAACACGTTCATAGCATAGATAGGAATTGCATCGATGACATTTTTCAATAAAATTTCTCTCCCTGCTCTTAAAAGAATTTTATGACCCCAACTTTGCATTATACTCACAATTTTATTTTGTTTATGAAGCCTAAAATTTCCTTTTTGTGTCTACCCACAAGAGAGGGCAACCCCAAATAAGTCTCACTAATTCCTTCCCTTCTCACACCCAAGATATTGTCAATGATAGCACTAGGGCCGTTCCAATAAAAATTGGGGTCATGTGCAATATCTTAATTTGAACCCATTTTTTCAAGTAATTTCTATATATAATAATAGTTGTTCAAAAAGTTGTGTCAAAAATTCAAAATATAAATATTGTATAAAAAATACATCTAAAATTTCATTTAAAAAGTGACATACGACGTGCACACTTAGACGCAAAATCATCCACCAAACTTTTGATATCAACTTCTCCCAAAATCTCATATTCAATAGAGATTAAAGCTAATACATTGAGTCTCTCTTGCAACATACTTGATTGTAAGTAAGATTTCACAATTTCAACTTTGAAAAACTTCTTTCTGAAGAGGCAACAGTAATTGGGATAGTCAATAATATTCGATATGCAATAGTAGCAGTTGGAAAACAACCCATCTGTTTCAATGAATTCAATATACTCACTACACCTATATTTTCTTTCGATAAAATCTCTCTAAGTAATTTTAGCTCAATATACAATTCATTTCTGTCAATATCACCACACTGTTCATCTCTCTTAAAAGCTGCTTCTAAACAAATGCAACAAGACTTCAAACCGTATCAGCCATCGATTGTAACTTGTGAGAACTAAACAAAAAATCAAAAGTTCCTTCATATACTTCATATTTCTCAAACCTCTTGGTCAATGAAATAATAGCTTGATCTACAATGTATAGAAAAATAATGAACCCTAAAATATTCTTCTGGTGATAATGAAGTATCATGAGCACTCTCATCAAATTGTATTTTTCTACGAATTTTTCGCTTTTGAGGAAACACTGGCTCAATTTCTAATTCAGTGGCAATTTCCTTTGCAATATCCATGGTAGTACAAAAAACAATTTTTCTATAATTATTGAAGAAAGAAACTAACCCTTTAATTTGATTAATAGCAACATCAAGAAACATATCCTTTGTTTGTAATTGCTTACTAACTAAATTAACCGCATATAAGATTTCAAACCAAATGATTGTGTCTAGCAAAAAGTCAAAGTTACTAAGTTCATTTATAGCTAAAGATCTTGCCTCACTTTTAATTTTCAAATCACTATCTATTTCTGCCACTTGAAAGTAGGGTTTCTCGAACATCACTGACTTGATATCTAATTCCTTTAACACTTTCCACACGACTTTCCCATCGAGTAGATGACAATGGCGTAAGAGTTAGATTTGTTACATTAGTTTTCAATATATGTCACCTCTTTGTGGAATTAGCAAATATTGTATAAATACGTTGCACTACTCCAAAGAAATCTCTTGCTTTGTCACAACTATTTGCAATGTCACACAAAGTCAAGTTAATACTATAACTACCACAAGGAGTATAAAATTCTCTACGATTTATATCCAAGAGTCTTTTTTTGTACACCTTGATGTCTCCCTCTCATATTTGACCCATTGTCATAACCTTGTCCCCTTACGTTATCTATATCAAGATCAAGTGATATCAACACATTTTGTAATACTTCAAAAAGACCTTGGCCAGTAGTGTCGTTCACAACCAAGAATTCAAAGAAGAACGTAACTCTTCTATTTTAATTGGATATGTTGATATATCCACACATCTTATAAAGTCAAAGACATTTGTTCTTGGTGATTGACATCAGGAGTACAATCTAATATCACTGAAAAATATTTTGCTTCTTTGATTTTTTGATTACCTTTGTTTTAACTGCAGTCTTATGACCAAGATAATGATGATGAATATCATGATTTCTAGCACGTAAAACATGCTCTTGAATGATAGGATCAAACTCAGCCAGCATTTCAATTAGGCCCAAAAAAATTCTCATTGTTATTCTTATACAACTTCTCATTTGTTCTATGAAATGCCAAGGTATTTTTAGCAAGATACTTCACAGCTGCAATAATCCTAAATAGTACTTTCCTCCAATATTCTTTTTCTTTCAAAAGTTGTTCTTGAGCCACTTTATCAATTGTCTCATTTTTTTTGTAATCTAAGATGCAACACCATCCAAGTTGTCATATTAGTTATATGATCTACACTCGTTTCATGCTCTTTAAGTCTAACACCAAGATGTGTCCATTCCCTAAAACCTTCATTGACCAAATCACCTTTTCCTATACTGTTTTTAAAAATTTTGCAAAAACAAAAATAAAACACCTTGTCAAGTTCTTTTGAATATATAAGCCAATCTCGATCATAGTTCTC